TAATGATTGAACACGTGTATGGAATTCAACCAACAATTGATTGGGTTCCAGCAGCAATGCGTTGGTAACTTATTCCAGTGGCAGCGGCAACAATGAGTTGTCGGCGGCGCGAACAACGATTGTGGCGATGGCAACTATGATATTGACGACGGTGCGTATCAAACTGTGACTGCGGCACTAATATGTCAACGGTGCGTATTATAACCGTGGCGGCAACGAGATGTCGACGGCGCGAGCAACAATAACGGCGGCGGCAATAATAATGATATTGACGACGCGAACAATGATTACGGCGGTGGCACTGATATGTCGACGGTGCGTACTATCCCTTTCAGCTCTAACCCTCACATTTGTGTAGGTAAATAACTATTAACTAATTGCCTGATAAATATTTATTTTGAGATCTATTTAAAGACTAACCATCACATTTGTGTGGGTTATTCAGTATAGCCCCAAAGACCTGAGACATGTAAAGTGTTTCAAACTTTGTGATATTTTGTACATACGCTTTATTATTTATATAAAGCTTCAAAAAATTGTTAAAAAAATTATTAGATTTTTATTCAGTTAGATATATTACCTACACATTTGTGTGGGTCAGGTTTGAAATACTCATATTACATGAAACACAAGTATATTGTTTAATCTTTAATTTAAAATAAAACAAATTATCATTCATAATACTTCTATACAAACCTTAAGTTAATTATTATCCTTTAAAAACAAATTATTTCTATAGATAAGTACCTTCTTTATAGTAATAATATTTAAAAAAATGTTGTTTTTATGTTTTATGAAAAATTGTAAAACAATTTTTTTTAGCAGTTAGACATAAATAAATATCACACTTGGTGCATTTGATTCTTGATCGGCTTTTACATCCCTTCATCCTACAGCATTTTGGATTTGGTATGTTACACACTTCTGGCCAATGCTCAAATCCATCCTTCACTTTGGTTGTTGGTGGGACTGGTGTCCTATAGTTTTGTGGTCTCTGTGTTGTCATCTGATTTTCCTCGGTGTCAGACGAATTTGATTCTTCAGATGATAGTGCACGTTTATTTGGCGATTTAGTTAACCATTCTCTAGCAACAGCGATTTTAAAATTCATAAGGTCCATAATTTCATTTTTACGTTTTAGTAACTTTTGCGCGTCTTCTCTATATTCCATCCAGGCGTTTACGATGCTTAAGTCAATGAAATGTAGTGCAACTTTTAATGTCCATTTTCTTGATTTGATCCACGTACGGTAGCATTCCATTTGTTGGTYACATATATCTACGCCACCCATGTACTGGTTATATGACTTTACAACATCTGGACAGGGTACTTCGATTTCCTTATTTTCCGTTTTACTCCATCTTTTTACTACACTATGAGGTTCTGCTCCTGTAGCATTAGAAATTAAAGTCACACATTTACTATCCTTCCACTTGGTCGCAGATATTTGATTGTCACACCTTGTGAACTCCTCCCAAACACCTCTTTGGAATTTTTTGTCTTGACTAAAATGCACGTTCCTTAATCTATTTGACATTATTGTGCCTGTAGCAATTAGTCCCTCACTAAACAACCGATCCAATAATGATACTGTTGTAAAGTACCGGTCGAAAAATAGAACTGATCCCTGCGGAATACTTTGAGACAAATGAAGTACGACTGCCGGTCCTAGCCCCAACGATTTGTCTCGGAATGGCGTATCGACACCTTGATAAATTTCGAAATCAATTACTTTCCCTTTTGACGTAGTAATTACGAAATTTTTTAAGCCAGTGGGTCGTGGTTTGTTTTTAACATATTGTCTGCTTGGACATCGACCAGTAAACGGAATCATTTGCTCATCCACCGAGTAACAGTCAACTAAACGGGGAATATTTCTACACGCATTACGAACTTGATCAATTATTGGTTGAACTTTCCAAAATCGGTTAATATTACCAGCTGGACGATTATTAATATCGACATAGTGCAAACTAGAGCGCAATTTCAAAAATCTGTCCCTCGTAATAACTTGTGAAATAGGACCAAAACCCATGCCTCTACTATCCCAATACATTTTTAATCGAGGGTACTTAAACACACTCATCATAGCATGGACACCGTACACACTTTGTATTTCATTTGCAGTAGTTTTCAGTTCTTTTCCCGTTTTGCTCATTACATACATATTTGTATACAATGCTGCTTCCTCAAAATGTTTATCAGGAAGATATGTTTTGACATAATCAAATGGAGTTCTGATGTTAATCGGTAAATAAGGCCCAAAATTATTACCTGGTAACGGTTTTCCAATAAATGATTTTTGAGTCCAACCAGTATTCAGAATAGTCGCATTTGGTAATGGATTCTGGTCTATTTGTTGTTGTAAGGGGGATGATGGTGAAAGCGTTTGATTTTAGCCTGAAGTAGAGACAACAGGTACGTTTTCGGTTACAATGTCTTCTTCGCCCGAATCCGAAAAATCAGATGCGCCAATTATTTGAACTTTCTGGGGATGCCAAGTACGGTCAACATCTGAGTCGTCACTTCCATAATCTAAATCCGAATCGTCACTTAATGTGGCCAACATTTCAATAGCTTTCGCGTTCAACTTTGCGCGACGCATTCTTGAATAATTATAACTCAAATAAAAACAGAAACCGTAGGCGAAATAACGTATGATAATCAAAATGTATGACACAAAATCCGAACACGCACAAATGTGTGGGTAAATTAAAAACGATATAACCGCACACAAGTCGGACGATAACTGATTAAATTATGTGACTGATCAAAGCATTATAACATTTTAAGAATATCATGTATAATACGTAGAATAATATAATAAACCCAGTGACTAATTATGGACTATAAATGTACCATATTGAATGCATATCCGAAAAAAGAAAAAAACCCATGATATTATTAATATAAATTGATAAAAATAATTTTAATTCAAACACAATAACACGCACAATCGGGTGGGCTAGGTCTAAACACTGTAACTCATTCCSTAAATTAGGTACAAAATATTTCACCCAACCATCACGTTAGTGTGGGATAGGTCATAATAGTACTTAAAATAAAATAAGCCTCGGGTCACAAGTGGTACGCGTAGTAACACACACAAAAGTGTGGGATAGGTCCATAGTATTAAAAAGCTAATAAATATCTTCGGGCTAAAAGGGCTATAACAGCGGCGGCGGCGGCAACGAGATATCTGCTGTCTAGTTTGACCTGGTTGATACCACGTCCTAGGCCAGCATATATAGYGCTCGGATTGTGTATAGCCTGGTGTCTTGCCTATACTTATGTAGGTCAGTGTGAACGCGTGGCGGTTAGTTTGACTGGTTACATCGATCAGGTTTGGTGGTTTTTGGATGATATACACTCCTTTGATGGTGGGCGGTGATGTGTAACCGATGTAGTTATTGTCCCTTTATCCTTTACTCCTGATGGTAAAAGACTTTTGAACGTATTTGCTTCTAAAAGTTGCAGTGAATGACGTAGTCGTAGAGTGCACGCTCCGTCGCGCACTCTGTGCGGCGTAGGTGCGATCAACAACATTTCATTGTTTTGCATGTTTTCTCAACGTACGTATGATTTTGGTGATGCGAGTCGTACGTTATAGGTAATTTGCCTTGACTATAATGTTTTACGCGAAGGATTGTTCAGTTATTGAAGTGCAAAATGATAGAAAACGCGTAAATTGTACCTCGCTGATAACTGTTTAGATGGTACTGGCCTCGTCCACCGGATGGCGCGCCTGGTACCTATTCTGTCTCGTTACAAGGACTACACGCTCCGAGTCGCGGAATATGGACTGCCGGATGACAAATATTCGTTAGGATTCGAAGTCGGTCAACGTTYACCCTGGCAGACAACCGACACAGATTTACCACCAATATTAGACC